CACTACACTTTAAGCTAATTATTGAATGGTAATCAGACAACTAATATGCTCTGTTGTAGAAGTCATTGTGTTATTGACTGAAGACAATTCTTCCCTCAAACCTCCTACTTTCAGTGTCTGATCCCATACTGGTGGCACTGCTTTGGGAAGTTATAAAACATACTTTAGGAAATGGGACATAACTGGAGGAACTTAGTCACTATATCATTCCCCTGTCTGTCACCTCTCACTCTGTTTCCCTATATACCATGAAGTGAACAGCTCTCTTCTCATATACACTGCCAGCAGGATGTTCTGCCCAAGTGCACTGGGCCAAGTGACCATAGTCTAAGCCCTCTACATCCATGAGCCAAAATACATTGTTCTTCCTGTTCAACTGTTCCACTGACTTATCTTTTTACATTGGTAAAAATCTAATACAGAGTGCAATAATACTATGGGGATAAGCAGAAGAAAATATGAAAAATACTCCAGTTTAATTATTACCAAGGGACAATGAAATCTGGTAATTAAGAAAAATCTAAGCTCTCCCACCATTCCTAGCAAGTCACTTTTACATATTTAAGCTTTGAATAATGTAGGGTGAGACATGTTGCAAACCTAAGTGAGCTGTTACAAGATTGGCAGCATTTGAGAATCAGTTTGATAGGAGGGGGGCAGATTAAGAGATATAGAGAGGCAGTGTAGCCTACCTGTGGTAAAGAAGGGCTTTGGCAGTAATGTAAGAATGGATACACCTCAGTGAACTTTGATAAATATAGGAGCACTTCTGACAATATTCCAGTGTCAATCTATTGTCCCTGAAATGCTATAGTATTCAATATTGAAACAAGGGTGTCAACTCTTTAAAATAATATTATTGTTCCAGAATTATAAATACACAGCCATGTTTGACTGATTTTCAAATTAATATACTTATTTTTCAAATCTAATTTATAATAGGTCAGAGTACCTTAGCACATTGTGTGAAATTGATTAGCATCCTCCAAAATATAACAAATGTAGGAAGCTAGTTAAGAATGAGTATGTCTGAAGCACAATGAATTATGTGCCTTTAGCAGAATATATGAAGGTAAATGATATAAAATCAGTCATTATTTTTAGTATACTGAAAATAACTAATATCTTCAGGTTTATGATTAATAGTACTTAAATAAACAGCAAAGTTGTTATACTTACATATACAAATTTTGCCAGGTAGTGGTGCATGCCTGTAATCCCAGCATTTAGGATGCAGAGACAGGTGTGTCTCTGAGTTTGAGGACAGCCTGGTCTACATAACTAGTTCTAAGGCTACACAAAGAAACCCTGTCTTGTAAAACTAAAAAGAAATGTGTAAATTACTGTTAATCATACCAGCTGCATAAGACTATTCACTTAATAAATTGCAACCATGAATATAAACAAGTATATATTAAGGTCTTCTGCAGACGTATTTCCAGAGAGAACTAATCAATATTACAGTAAGTAATAATGAAAAGAAAAAGCCATGAAAAATAATACTATGATCTGTATAACATAAAATTTATTAGGTGTTTTAATTATATGTAAATTAAACATCATGGAAATTGCATAAATGTATGTTCTCATGCACCTAATTGAGTAAAGAGCTTAGTGGTTAAACTTAAACTGAACAAAAGGAAATTTCAAAGGAAGGTGTTCATCCAATCTTTTATCCTATTGCTTAAATTGCTTAAACCAAGGAAAATTACATCCTGTGTAATACCATTAGGGAATCTGATTTCTACTTAAAATATTTTTGAAAATATTTAAAACATTTTAAATGCCATATTCTATAGATCTCTGAAGGGTTTGAAGAAGACCTCAATATCTAATATATCTCTGCTTGACCTTGAAAACATACCTAATATGACTACAAGTTTGATTGTAATGTCTAACTACTAACTTTCATTTCTTTATATCCTAATAGTTGGTAATAATATCATTCAAGGACTAGCAAATTGCATTATATTGTTAAATGAACTGTCTAAGTACAATATCCTGAATAAGATAAAAAAAATACATACAGCATTTCCTAACAGTATCAATCTCAATATATATAATTTGTATACAATAAATAAAAGGAGACGTGAATGAGACTTGCTGAACTGATGTCAGACCAGGACAATACACTTGCCAGACAATCCTTGAAAATAAGAGGATGTTTGCAGGGTTAGGACAGAACACGCCAACAAGTATTTCCTTGGCCAGGTGTCCTGTTTTTTTCATTTATCTTCTGGGAAAAGGTCCAATTGCTAACATATAAAAAGCTACTCTTCGTCCAGTAAGAAAAAAGCCAACGTTACAGGTTGGTATCTACACGCTCTGTGTTTTGTAACCAGAGCTGCAACAGTATAATATGGCTAAGAATACAGCTGTCTTTGGCTGTTCCTCATTTTGGTGTCCATGGTCTTTGTGACCCGATCTTTTGATCTTTCTCACTTAATTTTAGCCCAAACTTGAAACCATGAGCCTTGTTACTGGCCTCTGTTAGAACTTCATTATTCTTCCTTCCTCCTCTTTCTAAAAGAAAATACAAACACCTAGAGAAACTAGGTTCTCATAGATTTTTCTATTTTTAATGAGGCTTAGAATGGTTTTGACACAGGATCCTTCATCTCTGTACTGTATCTATGCTACCATGTAGTATCTGATAAACTGGCTAGAGGAAACACACACCTAAAATGTAAAGCAAATTATGTGAGACACCCCAGGCCAAACTACTGGTCCCCCAAAAGGATTTCAGAGTCTCTGTGCTTTCCTCTGTCACTAAAGCAGTCTTTGTCTAATAGTTTTACATCTTCATTTATCAATTTGTAATCACACATTTCTAAGTGAACTTCAAAATTAAGTAATTTGGTTTTGGTTTTATTAAATGCCATTGTTTGTGAACCTCCTGAGATATGACTCTGAAATACTTTATTTCAGCCATTTTCTTCTTTGTATGACATGCATTGTGCTAATTTACTTCAATTAATGCATTTCTTTTACCATGTTTATTTCTGTTAGTTTGTCTGAAAGAATACCATTGTTCCTAAACAAAACAAAACAAAAAAAAAACAAAACAAAACCACAAAAAACAAAAAACAAAACCTATCTCCTGTTGCTTGTGTTTGTAGTCTATTCTTAAGAAAACAGCCTGGAGTCACTAGAATACCCTAATCATATAAAATGTACCACCCAAAAGAACTGAGCAAAATAAACTTTTTGTAGAAGTGGTTTCATGTGGATTACAGGTAAAGATTTTTTTGAATGTTTCAATTTTGTTACTGCATATTGAAACTGAAAAGTCTATTTTGATTACTCAAGGTGAATACAGGGAATAGCAGGCAAAAGCCTTCGGATTTTTCCTTCTAAGTCTCTTCCATGTGTCAGAAACAGACAAGAAAAATGAACAGGGAAGAATCGTATGAATGGCGGGGAAGCGAATGCCGCGGTGAAGGCAGGGCCCCACTTGGGATAAAGACAGATACAAGTAAAATTTGGCGCGTGATTTTTAAATTGCCCGCGCAGCGCCTGGATTGGCCAGTGAAGCCACTATGTAGCAAAGATTCTTTGAGATGGGCAGACTTTCTTTTGGTTAGTTTCACTTTTGGTAAAACAAAGCCCAAGGGGGAAACCAACCAAACATACATAAATCCCACTGCACTCAAGCAAACATTAAAACTGAGCAATACGTGTAACTTGTGCACAGGTTCTTTCAAAGACCAGGAAAACTTGAGTGTGCAAGGCGTTAACGCTTCATTACTAAGTACTCAGTAGCTTTACTAAATCTTTCTCCGAATGACAACCTCCGGATGGTTATAACTAACAACTTTCTAAGAAACGTTAACAACTCACAATAAAGTGCCACATCCTACCAGTTGAGTGAGTGGCTCTGAGAAGTCTTCAGGTTAAGACTCTTGCTGCTGGATTTGTGAGGACGGACATTGAAATCACACAGCCTTGCAGATGGCCTGCCTCTCTGGGGAATACTCTTTTTTACAGAGCTCCCAGGTACCGTTCGTTTGCGTACCCGTCACTATTCACAACCTTATCCACACAGTACTGCAGATCTGTGGTTACAAAGTACGCTCCCCAGTTAGGAGGAATTAAAAGTTGACTTTGAGAAGATCCGAATGCCAGTGAAACGCCCACGTTTAAAGTCTGAGAATTGGGTGCACTTCCAGAAAAGCTTGCCCAAGGGGGGTTTGTTAAAAAAAAAGGACTGACAGTCCAAACACATATTTCATACCTTATCTCTTTGCACGTTACTTTATATTACCTCCCAGGCCAGATCACACTACAAATGATTGATGCATGTAACAGCTATTTCGTACGAAACTGTGGGTGGCTCTGAAAAGAGCCTTTGGGTTACGGTGAGGGCCGCCGCTCACTTGGAGCTGGTGTACTTGGTGACGGCCTTGGTGCCCTCGGACACGGCGTGCTTGGCCAGCTCCCCGGGCAGCAGCAGGCGCACGGCCGTCTGGATCTCCCGGGACGTGATGGTCGAGCGCTTGTTGTAGTGCGCCAGGCGCGACGCCTCACCCGCGATGCGCTCGAAGATGTCGTTGACGAACGAGTTCATGATGCCCATGGCCTTGGACGAGATGCCCGTGTCGGGGTGCACCTGCTTCAGCACCTTGTACACGTACACCGAGTAGCTCTCCTTGCGGCTGCGCTTGCGCTTCTTGCCGTCCTTCTTCTGGGCCTTGGTCACGGCCTTCTTGGAGCCCTTCTTCGGGGCGGGGGCGGACTTCGCAGGCTCGGGCATAGCGATGAACAAGAGAGAAACAAAGAAAGTAAAAAGCAAGTAAGAGTCGGGACTTAGTGTGCACTGGCTGGTTTTTAAACAGACTTGTGGCTATGCTGATCGCGAATAGAAGACGTCATTCACGAACTGTCCAATCAAAGCAAGTGTTTTTCGAAACCACGATGCTATTGGTTTAGGTGAAACTTCTATATGTAACCAATGAAATCGCTTCGTTTTCGCGCCCTGCGTCGAGTATAAATAGCGCCAGTGTGGCTTTCTCGTTACTGACTGAGCAGTTTGTGACAGTCAGTTTTCTACCATGTCTGGACGCGGCAAGCAGGGCGGCAAGGCTCGCGCCAAGGCCAAGACCCGCTCGTCCCGCGCCGGCCTGCAGTTCCCCGTGGGCCGCGTGCACCGGCTCCTCCGCAAGGGCAACTACTCGGAGCGGGTGGGCGCCGGCGCCCCGGTCTACCTGGCGGCCGTGCTGGAGTACCTGACGGCCGAGATCCTGGAGCTGGCTGGCAACGCGGCCCGCGACAACAAGAAGACGCGCATCATCCCGCGCCACCTGCAGCTGGCCATCCGCAACGACGAGGAGCTCAACAAGCTGCTGGGCCGCGTGACCATCGCGCAGGGCGGCGTCCTGCCCAACATCCAGGCGGTGCTGCTGCCCAAGAAGACCGAGAGCCACCACAAGGCCAAGGGAAAATGAGGCATTTGACCAAATCCACTTAAAGAAGTCAGACCAAAGGCTCTTTTCAGAGCCACCTACAAGAACACTGGGAGGAGCTGTTGTGCTTAAAATGGTCGTTGGTCCTGTAATCACTTCTAGGTGGACATTTACAAACGTAAGCGAACTCGATCCTAGTTTCGTTACCTAGTTAAGACTGGGAGTGAGCACTTGCTACTTGCTACCAATTTGTGCTAAAACTAGGGCGAAGTTTCATTACAGATCTCAAGGGACTAGTGACTGATAGGAATTTGGCAATAAATCACGTTGTGTAAGTCCCTGTGTAGCATTACATGACGAATACCAAGTTTGCTAGTAAGATTGTTGCTTACATCCCTCTAGTCACACATTGCCATTGCATTTTCAGGAGGACTTGAAACTGTTAAATAGACGTACTTTAAAAAAAAATTTAAAAACCCTTAGGTCAGTGCAACTTTATCTTTTTTTAAATTTAGTTTCACTTTACATAAGGAAATTCTAAGTATCTTAGGCAAGTATTTCATGGGTTGTTACTGAGCCTTGGAAGGTACATGGGAAAAACAAGCCCATTGTGGAGACAGGCTTTAAAGGGGTCTAAGGTGAGAGATTCGAGTTCTGAAACATCCTGGAGTACATAAACCGTAATACAAAATTAAAGAAAAAAAAAATCAGTCTCTGCTGCCAAAGGACTTAGAAACTTATTCAGAAGATGCACAAATTCAGTGCTTTTATATTTATCCTGAGTTCATAGAAGTTAGTCGGAAGAGCAACTCTAGAAAGAAAAGGTTTAAATAATGATGTACTAAATCTGTCACTAGAATTGTATTTTATCTGAATACTACTTGAAGTATATATTGGTAGTAGTTACAATTTAGAGTCATTTAGGGTGCTGGAGAAATGGCCTAGTGGTTAAGAAGAATTGCTGATCTTGCAAGAGGACCAGTTTAGTTCCTAGGACCTCACATCCAGCTGGGGGGGGGGGGGGGGGGGGGGGGGGCGTGAGGAGGAGGGTGGGAGGGGAGTGGGGTGGGGTGGGGTGTTTTACACATCCTGTTCTGTCATTGAGGCATACCCCGAGACACCAAATTGACACTTGAATAAAAAAAGATAAGGGGCAGAGAGGAGCTAGAATTGAAGACCTTATTTTCTATTCATCTCATAGGTTGAGTACTGCCTGTGGTGTCCTCTTCCAAACTCCAGTTAGATGGAATGAGCAAAAGACATCGTTCCTGCACACGTAGAGCGTGAGGACTAGCAGAAGACCACACTAAAAAAGTTAGACATTCTGTTGGATCTCCCAGCCTGCCTCGGGATTCTGTGCTCACGATCTTCTTCATGTTAGACGGTGTTCAAATGTGAAACTCAGAGGAATAAGAAACCCCAGATCTTCCACGTATTCTTGTTAATTTTCTTTTATGAGACTCGGCCTTCTTCAGCGAAAGCAGAGCTGTGAGCATACCTCCAGAACACCTATAGAGAAGTGCCAACATTTGGGCTCAAGCCAGCTCCATCTCTTCCCTGGATTTCATAGCCGTGTGCTTGCCTGCAGCATTCACTCTGGCTCTCAACAAACTTGGTTTTCATCAGGGTAGTCTGTGTTGTTTTTTTTCCATTGAAAACCTGAGTGGAGACGATAAGCTCTTAATGTGCCATTCCAGTGATGGGATCTTCTCACCTCTGTCTCATGCAACCCTAAGATTCTTCATGATTTGTCTCCTGCCTACCTTTCTGACTTTGGGTCACCACCCCTACACACATACACACTTGCAAGTATGTATTCACTCTCATGCATGTTTGTACACACACACACACACACACACACACACACACACACACACACACACCCCTTATACACACCTAGGAAATGTTCCTTCAGTTCCTGGTATTGCCCATTGTCGCATCCTCCAGTTCTCTACCTGCAAAGCCTTCACCTCCCTGGATACAACCATCTCTTTATTTAAAAAGGAAGGGTGGAGCGGTGGCCTGGGCGGATGGCTCAAGGTTTCCGAGCATTTGTGGCTCTTTCAGAGAACCTGGGTTCAGTCCTCACACCCACATGGTAGCTCACAACTATTTCAGTTCCTGGAGATCTGATGCTTTATTCTGGCTTCTGTGAGCACCAGGGACACATGTACATATATAGTTACATACACGCAGGCAAAACATTCATACACATAAAGCTAAATAAATCAAAAGAAAAAGTTAAAAAAAAATTTCAAAGTAAGAGTTCTTTAGGTTCTGAATTGGAACTACAAATATGCAATAAATGCAAATCTTTTGTAAAACTTTTAGGGGAAACTGTTTGTCATTTAGCTAGTCTGATAGTCAGGTCTGCAATGGCAGGGCTCAGGATGACTGTGAATCTGAGGCCTTTTAAATAGTGGTTTAAATTTTAGTGTAAATGCAAATTAAAAAAAAGCCACGTGTTGTAGATTACTTCAACAACTAGCTTGCAAATGTACATCCTTACACATAAGAGTAAAGTGTGTTTGAAGAAAGAGTTGGCTTTATTTGCACAAAGTTCCAGCCCAGTTCCACTCTACTCTGTTCATGCAAATGAGGGCCACAGCTCTGCAATATGGAAAGCTTTCATTACTGATTGCTTGGTGGATAAATTTGATTGGAACTCACAGCTCGTTGCTCAGGTCCAGGCTGTGTAACTGGGCCTTGCTGAGACTGTTTACCCTGGCAGTTGAAACAGGAAAATTCATAGGCAAGAGTTCCAGTTCAAATGTGACCCTTTCAGGAGCACTGGACACATGTCTACTGTCAATCAGCCACCAGCCACCAGGACACACATTGGTTGTATCTGATGACATTCTTAGACTTTGGGTTGGTGGAAGCAAGTGGTCTGCTATGTTAAGGCTGCAAATGGTTTTCATCTATTAGTCACAGGGTGTTAGTTTGGACACAAAGGTGGTCAACCACATTCAGGGGCTTAAAACCAGGCAAGATGAGACAGCCAGCCTATGGCCCTATAACATTCCAACCTGTCTGTTCGGTCTGGGCCCTAACTCTCCACATCACCTTAGTTCTAGTCCCGCAGCCTTTGAAGACACAGCCTCAGTCCTTCCAGGACTTCTCTTGACAGATCCTAACTCAGAAGTTAAGGGAAAAATGTTTCAGGAGATTTTTTTTTAAAAAAAAGCATTTTCATTATACTTGTACTGTACAGGGAGTAATGTACACAGCAGTCACAGAAGAACGACAAGCCTCAAAGATTTTATTCAAACTGCACAAAAGCATTTGTATATCTTTGAAATATTGGTGAAAGCCAATTAAATTGAAAATATTTGAGAAGAAATGAGATTTGCAATTTGATGAAATTTATATAGAGGTAAAGCTTAAATTTAATATAGTTAAGATAGAAATATTAGTATAACCCTAAGTATATTAAGTAAAACTGAAATGTAGTCACTTGTAGATGAGGGAAAGAAGGTAATTCCCAGCCCGGGCTGCGCCTTAGAAAGTGTGCACTGACGCCGGAGCACCCTCGCGGCTGCCTGCGGGCTTCTCTCTGGACGGGGTAACGGGTTGTCAGCGGCCGCTCGGCTTTTCGTATTTCGCACAAGGTCAGCGAATTGACTGCGCTCAGTTCTTCAAACTGGAAACAGGGGAAGAAGAGCTAGTTCCATTAGGAAGCACAGACGAGGAAACAAGAGGCGCCTTTTTTTTTTTTTTTTCTTCTCAAGCCTTCCCCTCCCCCACGGCGGCGGGAGCAACTTCCCGCCTCCTCCCGCAGGTTCTCAGTTCGGTCCGCCGCCTGCCCTATAAAAGCCGGCGCTCGGCTGAGGCGTCAGCGTCTCAGCTGTCAGCTCCCTCTGGTGTGTGACCATGTCTGGCCGCGGCAAAGGCGGGAAGGGCCTGGGCAAGGGCGGCGCCAAGCGCCACCGCAAGGTCCTGCGCGACAACATCCAGGGCATCACCAAGCCCGCCATCCGCCGCCTGGCCCGGCGTGGCGGCGTCAAGCGCATCTCCGGCCTCATCTACGAGGAGACCCGCGGGGTGCTGAAGGTGTTCCTGGAGAACGTGATCCGCGACGCCGTCACCTACACGGAGCACGCCAAGCGCAAGACCGTCACGGCCATGGACGTGGTCTACGCGCTCAAGCGCCAGGGGCGCACGCTCTACGGCTTCGGCGGCTGAGCTGCTCGGCTCCCACTTTACTCTCTCTAAAGGCCCTTTTCAGGGCCACCCACTTAATCTTCTAAAGACCTGCAACATTGTTTCTGATAGCCAATATTTTCGCTGAGGGGGTCGTTCTTGTCTCTGACAAAGGTATTTAGGGTTCTCGAATTTTGCAAGACTTATACATGTGTTTAATGACTTTTTAAACCGCATCCAACTGTTCATAGAAGCACCAGTATTCTCATCTTTCTTGAAAATGGAAACCCAAACTGTACGACAAAGCCCAACCACGGTTTATGAAGTGAACCACTACTAGGTAAGGCCTAAAATGCCATAACTACTTGGATAAAACTGAAATGCAAAATGTTACCTCCATTTAGCACTAGAGAGAAGTCTTAGTGGCCGAGAGCACTAACTGCTCTTGAGCACGAGTTCACCTCCTGGCACCCTCCGATTCCAGGACATCTGCTGCCTTCCTTCTGACTCCCACTTCCACGTGTACAGATACTCATGCATAAATAAATTATGAGAAATTAATCCAAATTTAAATAGTACAGCAAAGGTTAAGGTGGAGCAAGGAGATTTATGTATGTATTTTTGAGGTGGGGGTCTCACGTACCCCCAGCTGGCCTTGAACTCAATTTTTTAGCCAAAGCTGGTCTTGAATTCCTGGGTGACTATCTGATTTCATCCCCGGAGTGTCCTTAATTACAACATGCAGCAACACCTCTGTCTCATTTTTCTTACTGCTGCATCAGGCTTCTTCACTGGTGAAGAAGATAAAGGTCCCAGTTTGGACAAATTCGAAAGCAGCTAGGCCAGTGACCAGGCCTCTTCATTTGAGTCGGCAGGCAAACAGACCAGGGCACAGCTGTGGCTCAACACAACCTCTAGAATACTCTCGGGTTTTATTTGTGGTTTGGTAGCTAAAAGTACATAGATCCAGAATGGATATCACCACTGTGTGGCTGAATTTGGGCACTCCATATACTAAGTATATTTAGTATATATGAATTTAGCATCCAGGTATTTCATTTTTTTTTTTTTTTTTTGGTTTTTCGAGACAGGGTTTCTCTGTGTAGCTTTGCGCCTCTCCTGGAACTCACTTGGTAGCCCAGACTGGCCTCGAACTCACAGAGATCCGCCTGGCTCTGCCTCCCGAGTGCTGGGATTAAAGGCGTGCGCCACCACCGCCCGGCTGGTATTTCATATTTAAATACTACTTCACAAATACTATTCATCTCCTGAATCTTTATCACTTTATTATACATGTTAACACAGTTGCACAACTTTTTATCTATACCAAACACATTTTAGGATCTTGTCTTAACTATCACATTTGTTTCTCAGTAGAACTAAGTAATTTCATATAGTTCCAGGGAGGTACTTTTCAAGTATCATCCACCTCTGGAGCAGATGTGTGACAATATGGTATCATAAATCCAATTTTAGTTCTGCTCCATTTCAGTGATAAAGTTATCAAAAGGTAAAGAACTTGCTTGATTTAATAATGATTCACTAGTTCTCACCATTGGCAATAATTTTATCCCTGTGAAATGGAACTTAAACATAACATTTAGTAGAAAATCTGCTCACTCTCCTGTGTTGTTTTGTGAACAGGGCTGAAAATATGAATCATTCCTTTTCTACAAAGTCATTATCCTTAAATATTCCTGCTAATACTGGAAGATGTTTGAGAAGATAGTTTGTAAAACATGAGAGATTGTGTCAGCTAAGCAGGCACGTGCTGGTACATGTGCTGGTACATGTGCTGGTACACGTGCTGGTACAGGCGCTCTAGCCACAGTAGCCTCAGTGCATTCAGTCTGAAGTCATTATTGCTGTGTTTCGTCATGGCATCGGAAATCTAAAGCCAGTCCAGGTGCTGTCCGACAAGTGTCTTTACAGCTCTTCTTTCCCCCACTGCCTGGGATGTGGGTATCAGACCCTAGGTCTTTCTGTTTCCGTCCCAGGTTCCTTGCATTGCAGATCTTGGTTGTGCATGGCCCTCAGAGACAGACCGCAAGTCAGGAGTCTTGAAAGAGCAGGGCCTGCCCCTCAGCACCTCCCCTCTTCTGCCCTTCTTCCGGGAACACAACCTACAGTCTGAACTCTTCAGCTGTTCTGTCCTGCTGCTGCCCTGAAGCCCTGATGCCTTGGAAAAATTAGTGGTCAGATCCAAGCTTTGGGGCATGGGTCTATAGGTAAGTCTATGGAAAAGAAGAGACATTTATTGGTGACAAAACAGAATATGCCTTGTTCATCTATTAGATGAATTGACATCATTTTGCAGAAGGGTAGTGTTGTCTATTAGATGTTGCAGGATCCAACACTATGGATAATCATAAAGTCCAAAAGGCTTCTGATACATTACCTGATGCATTGGCTATTATTGTAAAAAACAATAATAATACACATAGGAACAAAACTAATCTTCTGGCATTATGTTTCACTTGTTTGATGAGGACTATAAAATATATTTTATCTTAAAACATCTTTAAAAAATATTTGGTAAACCTTCATATTGATGAGTTTCTACTTGTTAATGATGGGATCTACAATTCATTTTTTTAAAATTTCCTATACATAATTATAGTATGACTCTTAAAAACTTCTTATTAATAAAATCAAACCTGAGGCCAGTTTTTGGGGTGAATGCTGGAAGATCAGAGAAGCAGAACAAGCCACAGCTACCTCACCTCGCCAGTTCCTCAGCTGATCCTGTTTTCTCAAACTGGAAGCCTCTGAGTCCTTATCCAAATGAATCTCAGCTGAACTGCTGCTCAAAAGCCTGAATGCTTAACCAGTTAAAAGCTTCTAGTTTCTGGTCCTCACGCCTTAGATACCTTTCTGCTTCCTGCTATCACTCCCTGGGATTAAAGGCATGTGTCACCATGCCTGGATGTTTCCAATGTGGCCTTGAACTCACAGAGATCCAGGTGGATCTCTGCCTCTGGAATGCTAGGATTAAAGGCATGAGCTACCATTGCCTATCTTCTATGTTTAATATTGTGGCTGTTCTGTCTCTGACCCCAGATAAGTTTATTAGGGTGCACAATATTTCAGGGAACACAATACCACCACACACAGTTGTAGCAGGAATCTTAAAAAGTTCTTATTGCCGGGCGGTGGTGGCGCACGCCTTTAATCCCAGCACTCGGGAGGCAGAGGCAGGCGGATCTCTGTGAGTTCGAGGCCAGCCTGGTCTCCAAAGCGAGTTCCAGGAAAGGCGCAAAGCTACACAGAGAAACCCTGTCTCGAAAAACCAAAAAAAAAAAAAAAAAAAAAGTTCTTATTAATAAAATCAAACCCGGGCCAGTCATTGGGGTGAAATGCTGGATGATCAGAGAGACAGAACAAGCCACAGCTATCTCACCTCGCTAATTCCTCTGTTGGTCTTGTTTCCTCAGACTGGATGCTTCTGTGTCCTCATTCCAATGGCTCACAGCTAAACTGCTGCTCCAAAGCCTGAAACCTTAACCAGCTAAAAGCTTAACCAGCCAAATGCTTAACCAGCCAAATGCTTAACCAGGCCAAATGCTTCTAGTTTATGGTCCTCACGCCTTTCTGTTTTCTACCATCACTCCCTGGGATTAAAGGTTTGCTTTCTGGGATTAAAGGCGTGAGTCACCATGGCTATATCCTTGAACACATGGATTTCTGCCTCTGGAATGCTAGGATTAAAGGCGTGTGCTACCACTGCCTATCCTCATGTTTAATATTGTGGCTGCTCTGTCTCTGACCCCAGATAAGTTTATTATCATGCACAATATTTGGGGGAATACAATACCACACACAATACATAACAGCAGTCTGCACAATTGCATATGACTATTTCCAAACATAAACAGTGTCTTCTTTAAAATGAATAAACAATGTAATGTGTCCTCTGTGCTTATCTGGTAAACATCAAAAATACCTAATATAACTAACACTTCATTGGCTTCTTCTTTCAAAGTGTATTCTTACTGGAAAAAGTAATAAAAGGTTTTAGTCATGTATCCCTAAGACAAATAGAAAAGCTACATTATAAGATTACATTTGAATTATTGTACATAGTAAATGTGGCCTTTTTATTTAGATATCAAAAATAAAAAATTATTCAATAAATCAATGGAAAATTATCACAAATATATAACAAACCTTTATAGGATATTGAGGAAATAATAAATTTTAAAAAAGAAATGGAAACAAACTCATGGTCAGAAACCACATAATTATTTCAAGTGACTCTAAAAAAACAACTGATAAATTTCAACATTCCTTCATGATAAACTTCCTGGAGACTTTAGAAATAGATAGAACCTACCTCAAAATAATAAAGGCTATATACAACGAACCTATAGCCAGCACGCTGTTAAATGGAGACAAACTGGGAGCACTTCCTCTAAAACCAGGATGATGAAGGTGACTGTTGTCCCTTTTCTCATTCTCTAGAGTGTTGAAAAGTCTTCTATAGGAACCAGACAAGAGAAAGACACACAAGGGATCGTAACGGAGAGCAAAGAAGTCAGACTATCCCTTTACTTAAAAGACCCTGTGGAATCTAGTAGAAACTTCATGTGCTTAATATAGATAGATATAATAAAGTTGCAGTATACAAAAAACCAATAAAAACAAAAACAAAACAGTAGTCCTCATGTTATAGACAGTTGATTCTCTCAGAAACTGATTAGGAAAAAACATTCCATTCACAATATCCCCAGTTAAGTGTTCAGGAATATATCTAACCAAAATAAATCAAAGGCCACTGCAACAAGAACTTTAAGATATTGAAAAGGGGAAAGCACAGTGAAGTTTCTAGGGTTGTGCCATCTTGTCCTGACTTCATTTTCTGTCTGTGTAGACATGTCTCAACTCTCTACCCCAACCATGGCCTTGTGTATCTTGGGAATACATTTGCATTGTTGATGACCCTGACCATTTTCCAGATGTATTAACCAACATAACTAATGTTTGTACAAACTAAAAATAAACTAAAATAACCGATAAAATATAAATCAGAATTATCGTGTTGCATCTGAAAGAACTTCTACATCTGGCAAGCAGATGTGAGGCTGCTGTGACCGTCACCTAAGATATAGATGTAACTGTAGTCTGTTGTGCCTCAAAACAGTTTCCTTGAGTTTCAGCAACAAGAGACTTCTTGGGCACTAGTCCACTCTTGGTGGCTGGCCAAAAACAAAGAACTCTAATTTGGCCTTATATGCATGATGGTGTGTGTATAACTTTCTCACCTAAAATATAGCAACAGAAGGTACTAGAAAATGAAAAAAATATTCCATGTTCCTAAATAGCAGAAATAACATTGCAAAACATCTGTCGTAGCAAAATTAATATACAGAATGAATGCAATACATATGAAAATGTCCAAGTCACATTTTGCAGCTTTAGAAAAAAATAATGGAACCATGAAGAGGCCACAAATAGCTGAAGCAGCATTAGATGAGCAAGATAATAATCCTGGAGGTA